ATATATACATATACATAATACATACACACACACATATGTATATCTGTACCATGTGCGTATGTGTGTGCAGGTCGCAGAGGGTGGAAAAAGGCCATCAGAGCCTCTGAAACTGAGGTTGTGAGCTGCCATGGAGGTGTTAGGAACCAAACCTGGGTCCTCTGCAAGAGCAATGAGTACTCTTAACCACGGAGCCATCTCTTTACTCCGCTATTTTTATATCATGTGTGTGTCTGTGTGTGTGTGGGTATGTGGAGGTGACTGCAAGTGCCTTCGTAGCTGTCATATGTTAAGAGGTTTGGGTCCTGGGAATGACTCAGGTGCTCTGTCCAGTCTTTTACCTGTCAAGTCATCTCTTCAACACCAATGAATTATCTTTGTAAATTTTATTTGTTTGCTTCTCTGTACATCCCTGGGCAGAGGTGGTGCATGCCTTTAGTACCAGTACCGGAAGAGGCAGAGGCAGGTGTATCTCTGTGAGTCTGAGGCCAGACTGGCCCACAGAGCAAGTTCTAGGACAGCCATCTCCAAAAACCAAAACAAATGAACAAACAAAAAGCCATACACAAAACAACAAAAACCCAGCCTATTTGCTTCTCACTAAATGGAACTGGAAATTGAGACCACCAAATTAGGTTACTTACTAACAAGATCCCTAAACCAAGAGTAGCACAAATTGTAACAGAAACACAAGAAATGTGAAAGGGCAAGGCCACAAGACTCCCTCAGAGATCCTAAGGAATTCAGACTGAGTGGGTGGCATGCTAGATGACCTCAGAGTTTAACAGCAAAAGGTGATCAATGTCCTAAAAATGATATAAACACATGGGTGAATTGGGGAAGAAATTAAACCAGCACCTAGAAGAAAGCCAGCAGCAAAGAGGAGGGACTAGACAAAAATGATGAAAGTAGTTATATGGCTATATATATATATATATATATATATATATATATATATATATATGGCTATATAGCTAAAAAGGCAAAATAAAGGAGAAATTCAGTAAGTCAATAGAAATTTTGAAAAAAAAAATGCCAGAAATGAAAATTACATAAGTCAAGGGTCAAATTGGCTCTGGGGAGATGCTCAGTAGTTAAGAGCATTGGCTGCTCTTTCAGAGAACTGGGGTTCTTTGCAGCACCCACCGCAGCTCATAGCTGTCTATAACTCCAGTTCCAGACAGTCAACATCCTCTGGTCTCCATGGTAACATGCAATTGGTACACAGACATACAAGCAGGAAAAATACTTAGGCACATAAGATAAAAACAAACCTTATTTAAAAAAAAAAGAAAAAGAAAAGACAAGGTCAAAGAAACACTACACTCAAACAGATTTTTTTTTTTCCCAAAGAAACCCAACCAAACTAAACCAAGCACGACTGCAATGCTCAAGACCTCCAAAGTATGACTGAGAAACCAAACCCAAGAATTTTCAGGATAGAAGACGCTGAGCCAGAGAACTGGGTCAATATAATCATAGCAGAAAGAACTTCTCAACCCAGAGAAACAGACATCCAAACAGAAAGGCCATTTAAAATCCCTGCATCAACACCAAGAACTTGTACAGAGAACACTCGGTGGTCAAGTATAGGTACAAAGCAAGGACACAGCAGGGAAAGTTCTTAGGAAAACCATCACCTTACTAACGGTTCAAACCCACTCAAACTTGTGAACAGTAACACAACCTGCACCACAGACACAAAAACACCCATGGAATGCAACACAGGGTCCAGAAATAAACTTGCTTGTCTGTGGCTACCCAGTGTCTCAAAACAAATACTGTAAACTGGGTTATCTGAACACTAACAACTAGATAGATCCACACCTTACACTTTTTTTTTTAGAAAAAAAAAAAAAACAAAATGGATCAAAGCCCTTAATGTAAACTGCTAGAGGAACATAGTATAGAAAAATGAGAAAACCTCTGATAATTACCTATCAAAGATCAATATCCAGACTCTATGAAGAACTCAAACAAAAATCCTATCACTAATGGAATAATGAATTGGACATTCTCAAAGAAATATACAATGATCAACAAACATCTGAAAGTGTTCCACATCTTTAGGCATTAGTGAGATGTAAATTAAAACCACACTGATATTTCATCTTATACCCACTGGAATGGCTACAATAAGCAAGCAAATAAATGAATAAATAAATAAGACATATAGCAATGCCAGCAAGGATACTGAGAAAAGAGGAACTGCTTTTGCTGATGATGGGAACAGCAACCATGGAAATCAGCAGTTTCCTCAAAAAAACTAAAAATAGAATTACCATATGGTCTAGCCGCACCATTCCTAGGCACACACACAAAAGATCCTAAGTCCAAAAAAAAAAAAAAAAAAAAAAAAAAAAAAAAAGATCCTAAGTCCAAATACTTCCATGCCCATGCTCACTGATACACTGATTCCAACACCAATGAATGGAACTGACCTAGATGCCCAACAGCAGAGAGGTGAATAAAGAAAATGGAATTTAGGGGCTGGAGAGATGGCTCAGTGGTTAAGAGCATTGCCTGCTCTTCTAAAGGTCCTGAGTTCAATTCCCGGCAACATGGTGGCTCACAACCATCTATAATGAGGTCTGGTGCCCTCTTCTGGCCTGCAGACATACACACAGACAGAATATTGTATACATAATAAATAAATAAAAAAGAAAAAGAAAATGGAATTTAATCCACTCAGAGAGCACGTGTGGAAATGGACAAAGCTGGAGCTGTGTTAAGGTGAAGTAAGCCTTATTCAGAAAGACACCACATACTTTCTCACATGTAGGACCTAGATGTAAATTATATACACATTGTAACACATCAAAGTAGAAAGGAAGAGCAGGTGTGAAGGAGGTGTTGCAAAATATTCCTTTATACTCTGTAAAGATGGTGATGCTGAGATTTAGATGCAAAACTACGGAACAGCCCACTGCTCTACTGTATTTCCCAACAGTTTAGAGGTGGGGCGGGTAAGGTGTTTTTGTTTGTCTGTTATTTTGTTGTTGCTGTTGTTGTTGTTTTTGAGACAGGGTTTCTCTATGTAACCTCCCTAGCTATCCTAAAACTCTCTCTGTAGACCAGGCTGGCCTTGAATGCAGAGACCTGCTTGTCCCTTGTCTCTGCCTCCTGAGTGCTGAGATAAAAGGTGAGAGCCACCCTTGCCCGGCATGCTGGGCGTTCTTAAGAGTACAAAACTAGGTAAACTACATAAGAAGTCATCAGTAAATATGTTACATTATAAACATCGTGGTTAAAACCACTAAAATATGTAACAGATAAGTTTATTTACCCAAAAATACATAAAAAATAAGCGAACAATTTGAAGAGCCTAATAACAAAGATTCACTGAAAAAAAAAACAAACAAACAAAAACCAACAACAAAGATTCACTGAAAACACATCTCTCTGTTGCTGAATTCTACCTAAAATTTTAACAAATGACCATGGACAGAACTAAGTGAAGCAATGCTTCTGTGGGTCTTTCCACTGTTGTTTTCTGGTACAGTTGAGAGTCAGTGGGTACAAGTGCCTGCTGCCAAGCCTAGCAATCTGAGTTTAATCCTCAGGAACCACACAGAAGAAAGGGAACCAAATGCAGCAAGCACATGTACAAGCCTACACACATACATGAAATAAAATAAAAACCTTTAAGATTTCTAGTTCAACATGGTGGCGTACACCTTGAGTCCCACACAGGAAGCAGAGGCAGGTGATCTCTGAGTTCTAGCCAGTCTAGTCTACACAAGGTGCTCCAGGCCAGTAAAGGCTGTGCGGAACCAATATAAGCACGCAGATTTCTAGAATTGAAGTACAAGCACTCTGACCACCTGGTGAGAGTGTGAGCAGGGAAGAGTCCATGGGGAATAAAGCCTACCCAGTAAACAGACATGGAGGATAACAGCTTACTTCTAAAGAGGTCATATATGACATATATGACATACCAAATAGCCGTTGAAAAGTTTCCACCAACACCACAAAAGTAAATACAATGCAAGATGAAATGTCTGAAATGAAACTGAGTTGTACTTGTAAATGCAGAATTTAATCAAGAAATAAATTCATGTTAGCTATCTGGCTACAGAGTTGAAAAAGAGCCAGTGGGATGGAATGTTATGACCCAACTAATAGCTATAATCTACACTGAAGTCTATTTACCTTTGAGTGATCCATTATTTTAGGCAATGATTTCTAGTTATATGCCAATACATCTGTCTATTCTATGGAAATACATGAAAAATTAACAACAAAAATAAAACAAAAATCAAAGGAACTGACAATTCACAGAAACAGCAATACCTTCTGAAATAACAGTTAGGGAAATCAACCAACAACACCCAAAACAAAAGCCAAAAAGTTCAACAGCTTAGGGAAACACAGGAGGCGATATACTTGTACTAACACACTGCAATTATAATTTGCTAGGGAATTGACGGCAATTGGCTTCATCAAGACTAATTCATCTTCTAATAGTATTTTCACCACTACAGGGCAGTATCATTTTAGGAATTGCTAAGGTGAAAATGGATACCAGTCCAGCCTAACTTGAGGCCTACCATGTCATTTTATGGTATATAAAAAGGTTCTGGTGCCTGTGTTAAATGACTGCCCACTCTCTATAACTAGATCTAAAACTTTTAAAGTGACAATAGTCAACAACTCAATGAAAACAGGTTTTCATCACAACTCAGTCAGTTTACCCGTCACAGGATGAAAACCAAAGGAGAGGACAGAACTGATCCTGAAAACAGAAGTAGACAACAAAGAGGATATCTTGTTAAAAGTTCAAAGAAATCAGCTAATCTTGTTCACCACAATGGACACGGGTACGTCAACATTGCACGGGGAGAAGAATATTAATTATTCAGCTACAGATGAAGGTATTTGGATGTGACAAATCAGATAACTTAAAAAACAATTTCCCGGAACTATTCTTGGTCTTAAACAAAAGAATGTAATGGTCTATCAGGCTTCAATCAGCTTATAAGCTAACAATGCCATATACACACCTTATTTTGGGACTACTGTGCTTGAAAAACTGTAAAAATTTGGGAATCATGATGTTGAGAGGGCGATCTAAAACATCACTATCTAAAATCTCAGCAGAGTCTTCACATATCTTCTGCAGGGCACCAAATGCTCCCTGTAAGAGACAGATTTATAGCATTAGAACTCACTGAAAACAACTGCGAGCAGGAGGTGGCACACCATATGTCATCCCAGCACCGGGGAGGCTGAGGCATGGAGATCACTACACTAGCTTGAGACCAGTCTAGACAACATGGCAAGACCCCATTCTCAAAGGAAAAAAACTAACTAGAACAAAGCAAAACAAAGAAAAATCAAGATATGTGGACTACTAACAAATCTATGTTCTCAGCCCACATGCTTTATAAAACTTAAAAACAAATTAATTCAGAGTATCAAAATATCACTCTAATGATGTATTTAACTTTTAGTTTAAATAAGTTAAAACTGGAAAATATTTTGATTAGTTGATAAATAGCATCTAAAATTTCTAATTCCGCTGAAATATCAATTTTAAGTCTATATTAAAATTATCTTATTAAATGCTAAAATAATTTTTTTTTTCGAGACAGGGTTTCTCTGTAGCTTTGGCACCTGTCCTGGAACTAGCTCTTGTAGACCAGGCTGATCTCGAACTCACAGAGATCCTCCTGCCTCTGCCTCTTGAGTGCTAGGATTAAAGACGTGCACCACCACCACTAGACTGCGAAAATAACTTTTCATAGAAATGTATTTAACCACTGTAACATAAATTCATTTTGTAATATATCTTACCAAAAATTTTTGAAACAATCATATACAAGCCATATATTGGGAAACTGACAACATAATATAGTAACAGAAGATTCAAGCTGACAGCTACTTCCTCTAATCATCTTGGTAATAAAAATGACAAAACAAAACAACAACAAAAAGGCAAAAAACCTCAAAACGACAACAAAAAACAAACAACGAAGCCAAATTCCATTAAAAACAAACATTTAGAAATATTGTGTGAGGATCTAGATAGAAAGCCTGCGTCTTTAGCAGAGCAGCTTACAATCACTATAGTTTACACTGTCATTGTGTTCCCAGGGTTGCAGCATGCCCTAAGAGTGACTCAGGAGACTAATCTCCCGAGTTCCTCTCTCTTCTCTCCTGACACCATCTTGTTCACTTATACCTCCAAGAGGTGCTGCTGTCAAGTCTAAGCCTCTAAGATGGGTTTCCGCCCATGTGGCCGCACAGCTTCCATCTTAGCACTCTGAAGCTAAGGGAGTGATGGATCTCTAGGAGTTCTAGGCCACCCAGAGCTACACTGTAAGACGAAGGGAGGGAGGGAGGGAGGGAGGGAGGAAGGAAGGATGGATGGACAAAAAAAAAATTCGGCTTGCTATTAAATCAAATAGTACAGTGTTCACCAACATTGAGAAACTAAGAAGGGAATTCCAACTGGGCATGGTGGCTCCTGCCTGCAATCCCAGCCTTTGGGAGGGAGGAGGACTAGAAGAGTTCAGGGTCACAATGAGACCGTCTCAAAATACAAATCCAAACATTTTCTTCATTTCCCCAACACAATAGTTTTACAGATTTTACCAGTGGTGATAAATAATTAAAACAACAACAACAACAAAACATGCAAAGCAAAACCTAAGAAACTAAAACACAAAATCAAGAGATCAGAATTAATTATGATTAAAATGTTCATGTCAGGGGGCTGGAGAGATGGCTCAAAGGTTAAGAGCACTGGCTGCTCTTCCAGAGGTTCTGAGTTCAATTCCCAGCACCCACATGGTGGCTCACAACCATCTACAATCTACAGTGAGATCTGGTGCCCTCTTCTGGCCTGCAGGCATATATACAGACAGAACATTGCATATATAATAAATAAACCTTTAAAAAAAATGTTCGTGTCAGGCTGGCGTGATGGTTCAGCTGCAAAAGGCTAGGATCAAAATAAAAATATATAAAAATGTTTATGCCTCTTACTGTATGTCATTTAGAGAAACTAAAAACAATTTATGGTCTGGTATTTTGGTAAACTCTGGTTTACCTTCAAATACGTAAGACATCAATGAGGGGCTGGAAAGGTGGCTCACCAGTAAGGTAAGAATGCTTGTCGCTCTTGTAGAGGACCCAAGTTTGGTTCTCAGCACCCACATAGTAACTCAAAACCACCAGGAACTCCAGTTTTAGGGGAATCTGGTGACTTATTTTGACCTTGAGAGTACACATGCAGTACATAAACATACATGCAGGCAAAAAGCTCCCACCCATAAAATTAAAAAAAATTTAATTAAAAAAATTAATTGATTAAACATAAAAACAGCTTTAATCACATGCATGTAACATTTAAGAAAAACTTCACAGAGACAATGCATTTCCTTATAGGAAACAGTGATGATTTTTGTTACATTATTTTCAGAAAACAAGTAAAAGGTAACAAATATAAAATACAAAGACAACTTTAGGTTTCAGAGCTTTGAAGCTGTCTAGTTGAGAAGTATCTTCCTGAAGGTTAACATAGGCTATGAAAGGACAGACCTAAGAAGCAAGCCGCCTTACCTCACAAGTGTTGTAATCCTCAGAATCCAGCAGGCTACAGAGCTTTGGTAAGAGATCAGGCCAATTCTGCAGTTCTCCCTTGGAGGCTATGGTTGTAATTAAAATTCCTAGAAAGAAGACACAAATTTGGAGATTAAGACACTGTGTGAGAGGCATGCACAAACACACTTCAAAACATGCCAAGAGGCCCAAACTACAGAGTTACATTAAAGATATCACTCTTATTAGCCTTTAGGCAAGAATCAGTTAGGTACCGAGATCTTCTTCCTCATGTCAACTATTCTTTCCTAAAGTTAAAATATAACAAAACACAGGGACTCCGTGGTTACTAAAACTGCAATCCCAGACTTGGAAGATGAATGCAAGAAGACCCAAGAGGGCAAAGTCAAGCCAGGCTCAGTGATGCACACCTTAATCCCAGCACTTGAGGCACAGAGGCAGGTAGGTAGAGACCCTGTCTCCCAAAAAACTAACCAACCAAGGGGAAAACCCAAACAAAACTTCAGAAACACCAAGTGGGCTAAACAGACACACCTACAACTTGAATGCCATTGCATTTGCTAGGCAAACATTAAAGAATGGTGACAGAACTCCAAATTTATAGAGTCCCATAATTCTACCTACTCCAGAAAAAAAAGAATACTAATACCAAGAAGAGCTGAAAACTGACATAATTTTCACTGTTTAGAACTGTGAGAGTTGGGCATAATGTCACATGCCTATAACTCCCACACTCAAGAGGAAGCAGGGGGACCAGATAGGTAGTTGACTTGGATTCCTGAGACCATATCTCACTAAAACAAAAATTATAATTATGTTTGACAATACTTATTCAAATCTTAAGAATTGAAAAGAATATTTTGGGGGATGGAGAGATGGCTCAACAGTTAAGAGCGTTCAATCCCCAGTACCCACATGATGGCTCACAACTATGTGTAATAGGATATTATCTCCTGTTCCAGCATGCAGGTGTACAGGTAGAGCACTCATACATAAATCAGAAATAAAATTAAAAAAAAAACTACTTTGGTTTCAAAATAAGGTTATTTCTATGAATTACTCTTAAACTTTTTCACAAGTGTATAAGCATACTTAAACAATATTTATTGGAATAGTAAAATTACAAACAAGCTATATATTATTTTATGAGGTAAGCAATTCATTCATCCAAATGAATTAGCATGAAATCATTAAAATGAAGTATCTTCCCAATAAACTTTCTTGACAAGATTCACAAATACTTTAGAAAACAAGAAAAGGAAGAAATTAAACTTAGGTGCAGCAGGCACATGGCTGTAATTGCAGCACAGGAGTGAAGAAAAAGCAAGATCCCATCTCAAAATAACGTCAAAATTTTTAAGCTGGATGGTAGTGGTGCATGCTTTTAGTCCCAGCACTCAGGAGGCAGAGGCAGGAGGATCTCTGTGAGGTTCAAGGCCATCCTTGTATACAGAGTAAGTTCAAGGACAGGGTTCAAAGCTAAACAAAAAAAAAGCCCTGTCTCAAACAAAATAAAAACAAAAAATTTAAACCTAAAGCTGCAAGTTTACTTTTACAATCAGAAATCTTTAGTTAAAATATTTACTAAGTTCTTAATATGGTATCAATATTGCATCGGGTGACAAGAAATCTAAAATTAGCGCATGGTCCTTGCCCTCAGGAAGCTCAGTCATTTGGCAATGTGGCACACTGGATTGGCACAACTGCGAGTATTGCAGCTATGGCATCCTACGGGAAGTTAGAGATGCTGACTAATATCTTACAGTCCACAGAGGAGCCCAACCATAAAAAATTACCTAACCTAAAATGTCAAGAGGTGAAGTTGTAAAATGCTTGTCTAGATAAAGCGCCTACACACTAATAATGTAGTACACATCATACATCTCTCAATTCTGTCAAGGTCTCTTCTCCAATTCTTAGAAATGCCTTTTAGATGAACTATTTCACTTACAAAACGTGTTCCCCAAAGTGCTTTAAATCTTCTCATGTGAACTAAGATGAACTAATTTAAGAAATGATTTTTAAAAATCCCCAGATTTCTTGGAAACTGAGGTTTTACAACATGCTCATATTTATTTTCCTGAAGCAAAAAAATGACTTGAGAAAACAAACAACAAAACAAAACAAAAAGAAAAAAGAATTCACAAGTCTAGGCAATGCTTCATGTGAACTACCTCCACCCCAATAAAGAACTTTAAATTCTAGGTGATGGTTTACAAACAAGGAATTTTAATATCGGGTCCCTTCCAGTAACTTCTCTCTGCGGTCACTCCTACTGTTCTGGCATCGTTACTCTCCAACAATGGAGGGTTTTGCCTTTTATTAAAGTTATTCTTTGACAATTTCATCACTCTAGTTACTGTCACCCTCACCTTCTCTTATCTCATTCTTCTCAACACCCTCTTTCTTCCTCCAAATTCCTTTTCCATATTCATCTGTTTTGTGATTCATCCTTCAGAACTATGCACGAGAGCTTGGTGGGCTCACCAGAGCGTACATGAATAAGGGTAATGACCACATTTCCCCCAGACTCTTTCAGAAGTCAGCAGTAGTGGACGGACTGTTCAGGGGGCCAGGCTCGGGCAGTCCCAGGACACTAGCTTCCAGGACTTACTGACATTCCTCCTACAGCTTCTTCTGTGCCGCTTCCCGCACTGTTAGAGAGGGTGGGACAGCTGTCTTATTTGGGCTGAGCACTGAACTATCACTCAATCTCAGCACCATGAGCAGCTATAAATCTACATATTTTAAGCTTTTGTTATTTTGTCTTATAGAGTCACTGGTCTTTTATTTTTAATTAACAACACAAGGCAGATAATTAACTGATCTGTTTAACTATTTCAAGTTGAGAGATTTATATAGTTAATAAACACTCAGATTTTATAGCAATGTGAACTGTAGTAAGGTTTGCCCAACTGGCAACTTGTATGTAAACATTCAAAAACACCAAGGGAGGGCTGGAGAGATGGCTCAGAGGTTAAGAGCAGTGCCTGCTCTTCCAAAGGTCCTGAGTTCATTTCCCAGCAACCACATGGTGGCTCACAACCATCTGTAATGAGGTCTGGTGCCCTCTTCTGGCCAGCAGGCATACACACAGACACAACATTGTATACATAATAAGTAAATATTAAAAAAAAAACACCAAGGGATATCTAATCTGTATGTAAAAATAAAGAAATATGATGAACTAAACTAAATATGCTCGCTACCCTTTATGCCAGTCTTTGGTACATGCCAATCATTGTTTCAGCTATTCTATCCAGCCCACCTTTGACTCATAATTACTTTATTATATTCCACACATCACTTGGAAACATACTGCAGTTATATCTAAAGTTATATTAAGAACTGCTGGTTACACTGAAAAACTTCAGTAGCCCTTCACAATCAGAATGCCCAAGTACATAATAAAAATTAGACCTAAAACCCAAGAATCGGACAGACTTTATAAAATGCTATCAAGAGGTACAGATTACAGCCATTAATAGTATTTCTATTTCGAAGTAAGAAAACAAAAGATGACAAGGCTCAGGGTGGTGTGTGGTTATCGTGCCTGAGGCCAGGGGTTCAATTCCTAGAACCAAAGGGGAAAAATCCTAAAATAAACCCAGGTCCCAAATGCGTTCAAAGGCTGTTGGTAAAGGAAATCCAGTCTTCACTCACTGCAAGTCAACTCTTCTCTCCGAGTATTTCCAACCTTCCAGTTAGTACACTGAATTCTACAGTCTGGACTACATCCTAAAGCCAGGGTTATGATACCACAGCATAGGGAGCCGACAATCTCACAATGAATTTCTGTATCTCACCCATTTCTTTTCTTTTGCTAAATTGCTTTTCCTTAGGGTGGACTTCTTTCCTTGGCTTTATATAGAAATGGCCGGCAGGCTCCATTCTTTTTACTAAGAGCTGGCAATGCCTTGATACACTAGCAAGTAAGACTAACCTACGGAGCTGGAGTCTATTCCCCTAAACTACAAATGTACCATACTTCTCAAACCTGAAGTCAGAATGATACTCTTTAATACGGAAATGCCCGAGAGTCAGAGCCTCACAGACATAAACAGTACTTCTAAAACTTAAAAGACAAACTGTATAAAACTAAAGATCCTCTCCCCAAACAAGGAATACTTAATGAGACATTGATCCATTTCAAAGACTTTCATTTAAACAACCTAGATTAACAGCGAGCATTCCAGGTCCTGGTAAATGACAGCTTCTTAAACCCATGGCACCTGGACAGCGGAGGCTGCCTATTTCTGTGGGGAGCTACTGACATGCATACCGAGCAAACAGTCAGCAGTGTGCTCCCAAAGTCACCCACACCAGCAGTTACAATTATTTTAATTTACTGCTACATAAACAGTTTTTCAATGCATGAAACCAAGCTGAACACCGAAAAGACTTAAAAAGCAAAGAAACAAACCCTGTGGTTGGAGCAGACACAAAGAAGGCTCGTACTACAGGCCAACAGTAAAACTTTAGAATCCTATACTTAAGACTGTTGCCATGAAACAGGACTTTCTGTACCTGTAAGAGTGACAATAGGAATGACCCAAGGCATTGCAAACAACAAGGAATCCCAGTGTATATAATCTCACAGAAGTTCTAATTTCAGTTCTTGACGCCCCACTCTAACCAACTGATTCATCAGCAGCCATTGGCCTTGGCTTCCCAGGGTTGCAGAGCTCCTACAGCAATGGTGAACACTATATGTAAGGATTTAAATTAAACAAAAACTCCTGCAAAAATAGCATCCCATTTCTAAATGTAATTTAGTTATAAAAAGGATACAAAATTTCTCTAACAGAACTTACCAACAGTGGCTCTGATCAGAGGAGAGGAATCACCAATATTATTTAGACATTCACTTTTGATGAAGTCCGTTACCCCATTTGGGAAGTTCTGGAAATGAGCTTTCACATTATTCTTCAAGATCAGACCGCTCAGGGACCTTGTGGGCTCATCTGTGAGAAGCAGTGACACAACTGAGTTCTAAAGGATTCCTTATTCCAAAAGGTACCAACAGCAATCACTTTAAAAGCATTTATGTTGAAAGTTGATTCCAACATTCCAATTTCTTTCTGCTATAGCTGGTTTTAAAAATCACCAATTACGAAAAATCAGCTCTACAATTTATGGTTCAGGGTTTCTCAACTTTGGTGCTGCTGACATTTTCAGAGTGATTTAATATTCGCAGTGGCATCTATAGCACCTATTCAGACGATGGCAATCTAAAATAGTTTCAGAGAATGCTAAATGTCTCCTTGAAAACTTCTCCTGAGAATCACAAAAATTCTTCCAGGTTGTACAGAAAGGGAGCAAATATATATGATATATAGGATCACTTTCCTATTACACAACTGCCATGTTTTTACTTATCTATTAGGGAGAAACAGTAAAGCAAAACTCTCTCAAACCATTAAAGAAGATGTTCAAAGGCAGAGCAGGAGACAGCTCAGCTGTTCAAGGCTCATAGTTCTCTCCTGAAAGATGCTTAATTCACTGCTGGTGCTAACAGATACTAGACTAGCTGACATTTTTAAATTTGTTATACACCAACACTAGTACAAATATTACTGTAATCAATCCTTACACCCTTTCAAGGTAGGCAATAACTGAATACTTAGTTAAGAACTTGCAACCTGAGTCAAAAAAGACTTAATGCAGGCCAAGTGTAATAAAAGAGACCTTTATTTCAAATCAATGGCTTTGTTTAATCTAGTTATTATTTCAGACTTTTAAATTGATCTGAGCCTGGCAGTGGTGGCATGCCTTTAATTTCAGCACCTGCAAAGAGAGGCAGAATTTCTAAGTGTCAAGACCAGCCTGGTATACAGAGTGACGTCAGGACTGCCAACAGATACACAGAGACTCTGCCTCAAAAAACCAAAAAATAAAAAACAAAAATCTAAAATTTTCAATCAGGTGTGGTGGCATACATCTTTAATCCCAGAACTCAGGAAGCACAGGAAGGCGGGAAGGGTCAGCTTGGGCTAAATAGAGACCCTGTCTCAAATGAAGTTACACGGGACCACTGGCTGGAAAGCCAAGTGGTAGCACCTAGCTCTCTGGGCCTCCCTCCTCAGTACAAGATGCAGGAGTCAACGGGGCTGCAGCTGGATGAGTGCTTAAGACAGAAAACACAGGTAGTCCCCAACTCGTAGAGGTTGGTTCACAATCACTTCTAACTCCATCTCTAGGGGACCTATCGAGGGCACCTCCCCACATAGCAAACACTGACACACAAGTAGGGAAAAAAAAGTGCAAAAGTCAATGTAATGTTACTGCAGTGAAGCTGTCCTTTTATTAAAAGACAAAGTCATGTATCTTCTCTAAAGTGGACAGCCATAAGGCTAACAGTAGAAGCTGTCTGGCTTTCTTTTTTAGAAAAACTAGGTATGGTACTCTTCTGGGCTTAAGGGAGGTAAGTTTATCAGTGGCATAAGAAGAAACAAAGAAGTTTTACACAAGCACAGAGTTCCCACTATATCCTTTGAAGAATTCATAAGAAATAGACAAAATAAATGTGAGGTAAAAAAAAAAGTGAGTATCTTACAGATTTATAATTTAATAGGTCTGTGGGGGGGGGGGTTAGCTGTCTCTAAAATGTAAATTCTTCTCGTTATTTGAACTATGAATTTTTTAAAAGCATCTTTGCAGGCCAAGAAATTCTTAACAAAAAAATATAATACTGTAACAACTTATTTGTAAGTAGGGTAAGAAAAGGATAGAGTGCAAATAGGTTAAAATTTTAAAATAAAACAATTGTAAACCAGAATCTCATTTATAAATATTTAAGTTCTTTTTAAAAGAGTGTGTGTCAGTCAGGTGTGGCGGTGCACACCTCTAATCCCAGGATTTAGGAGGCAGAGGCAAATGAATCTCTGAATTTGAGGCCAGACTGGTCTACAGAGCAAGTTCCAGGACAGTCAGGACTACACAGAGAAACCCTGCATTGGGGGGTGGGGTTTGCTTCTCTACAAATGAACTATACCTCCAGTCAAATAATTATTGATCACAAACTGGTGTGTGTGAAAAGATTTTTCTATACTAAGAAAAACAATATACTCCTTAGTATTTACCAAAGCAGAATAGTAATCACTGATTTTAAAGATAAACTAAAAGAATTTCTAGTTTAAAACCTAGATTTAGTTTAAACTTTTTATTATGTCCCTCGATCACAAAAGCCACAAAAGTAACTAGGAAATCATCTGAGAACAAATCCAAAGATTCACTAGAGTATAGGTCAACTATCAAATCTTTACTTCTGTAATGTGCTAGAGGCTGGAGCTGAGATCTTATAGAATCTGGGTATCCAGCAGGCATTTCCAACTGAAAAAAGCAAGAAGGTTACATGCCTTAGTGTCAGAGTCCAAACAGCTTACTTTACAACTCCATGCACCGTGTTTTTACTATGGCTTCTGAAACACCCATTGCCAAATAAGGGAGAGCGCACTCATTTGGAGGCCAGCAAACTGTCAATACTTATCTACGTGTCTGCAGTGTTCCAGGAAGGGACGTTCAACCTCAGTGTTATGATGAACACACCTCACTCTAATATGAGCTCAGTGAGGGCAATGATCATTATTTGTTTAGTCGTATTTATTTCCCATGGCCTATACATTGTCTGACAAAGAAGAGGTGCTAACAAATAAGTAATCTGTGAAATAAAGTATAGAAGGACATGTGACATGGATTAAGAACCATCAAAGACTGTCACTTAAAAAGCAAGACTAGTTAGCCTTAAAGTAGTGTAGGAATAACCTAAAGTGAAAACTAATAGTTAGTGACTCCATCATTTGTGAATAAGTTTAACATAGTATATAATCATAAACTAGAATAAAGTTCAGAGACAACAATTACCAGGTGGTAAAGTGCTTTCATTTTGGCTAAATAGCTTTTTAGGTTTTTTGTATAACGAACATACACATATATTCAGGTAATTATTAAACCCTACATTCAATCTGTAAACGATTAAAAGCCAGTCTTTGTTATATTCATGTATAAACACTGAAACAAAACACCAAGTCATACTGTGCCCCACATTTTCTAGCTGAAAACAACAAAGAGACTTATATCGACTTCCAATCAGAAGAATTCTTATTACCCATCTAAACAGTAGAGGAGCAGTAACGCTAAGCGGACACCTGACAGCCTCAATCAGATGGCAAAAGGAAATCCTCTGAAAGGAATACTTCACAGCATGTAGATCTTAATGGTGATAAAAGATATTTTTAGTTAATTATCTACACAAGCTCTACTTACCTTCAGATTTTAATTTTGTAAGAACAAAAATCAAGTAGTTGTTAAAATCTGGATACTGATTGAGTTGTTCCAGTTTCTAGAACAAATGGTAGTTAAGGAAACTTCTCTGTATAATCTAAGAAAGAAATTAAGCATTTTTAAATTTAACAATTGATCCTTTCTACAATATTTTTAGGCTTCCACTCTTCCTAAGAATAATATTTGCGCCGGGCGATGGTGGCGCACGCCTTTAATCCCAGCACTCGGGAGGCAGAGGCAGGCGGATCTCTGTGAGTTCGAGACCAGCCTGGTCTACAGAGCTAGTTCCAGGACAGGCTCCAAAGCCACAGAGAAACCCTGTCTCGAAAAACCAAAAAAAAAAAAAAAATAAATAAATAATAATATTTGCTTATTAAATCAAACTTGATGTTATTAACAACACTAGTACTTATTTAAAAAAACCAAACCTTTCGGTTCCTTCTGACTAAATGCGCATCAGGTATATTCAATAAGACACAAGTGAAGGAAAGGTCTGTGTGACCAGCAAAGCAATGAATGCATTTTCAGAGGCAGAGTGGGTAACTTACAAACAACCTAACCTAGTAAGTACTTAAGTACAAATAAGCAAAAAAAAAAAAAGTCAGTCAAGTCAATTCCCTTTCACGCCAGATAACACGTGAGGACACAAACTGGAAGGTAACAGTGACGTAATGCTCTAAACCTTTCAAGCCTTGACTCTCAAATCAGTAGCATGCTTGCCAATAGTATTTTACTGCACAAAGAGATTAAAATGTTTTTTTACTGAAGAAACTCAAATTTTACATATCAGAAATGGCCTCAAAATGCCTAGGATCAGGATGTAAATTCTAGCAAAATATACTTTAAAATTCCAAAATATAACTACTTTTTCCAAGCCCAAAGATTTTTAAGTTTTAGTATGTTTATGTTAACAATTTTTATAGATTATTTTCTGATAAAATGTATTCCCATACAAAACACACACACATAGATGTAAGCAAATCTGTATTAACAATCTCCCAGAAAGTGCTTAAGCTCATACAAAATAAATCTGTTCTCTGCTAAGCAGACACAAAAGAACAGGTCATCACTAGCCTCTAAAATCCCTTCAGCCTCCCTAGTGCTGGGGGTTAAAGAGGTGGCACGACCACGCTTGATTAATTTGTTCTTACTCAGGGAACATAACAAGCTCTCAAGACACAGAATAAACTGTACATTGACTACTGGGCTGGCCCAAGCACCATACTTGGTATATAATAGGTATTTAAAACAAGAAATTAAAATATTTAGTGCTACAGAAATTACAATGCAATCCTGGAGTTGGCTAATTTTAGAAGCCAATTATTTTGTAAAACAATACCGACATTTTTCACCTTCCAACGAGAGCATAAATGAAGATTTATCTACAGCGTGGTTCAGATAGAAGCGCCACTATACCCCAAACTACTATTTTCCCTAGTCTTAAAGGTATTCAAACAAAATGGCTTTTTTGAACAATCCAAGTAGATTTGTCACTGTCCCATCCATTTTTAATCGGGCAGTGTAATATTCGTTCATCTATTGGAAGGCTGAGGTTACAGCACTGCAGTGCTTCTTTGAAACCTTCTAGTAAGTTCACTTCTGTGGTGTTTTAAAAAGAAACTCAAATGCCAGCTTATTTACCAAATTCCCTCTTAGGTGATTTTGCTGCTTACTGAAAACGGTAACAGGAGAATTTGCTGAGAGCATAGCAGACCTAAGTTCTTAAAGAATTAACTTGCTTGGACTTAATGGGTTAACTGGCTGCGATCTGCGTGTTCGTTCCTTCTGGAGCCTGCGTGAGCGCTCCATCGGTGCATCCTGCAAATGCACTCACTACCTTTCTCTCTCCAACTGTGGCAATTGGACCGCTACGCCAGCACTCAGCACCCAGGAACCTGGGGTAACTGAAGTCCAGGCTTGGGCCAAAGCTTTACCCCGCAGACCTCACTGGAGCGCCAGGGAATCGGCAACAGGTGTTAACGGGAGCACTCCCGAGCAGCCAGCCTCTCAGGCACGGCTGGAGAAAGCCCTGGGCCCTCCCGACAGTTCAAACCCCGCGCCAGCTCCACCCCCGGCCGCGCCGCTCACTCCAGCGCAGGCCCCGCGCCCCCGCCCCGCCGGGCATTGTGTGGGCCCGGCCGCTCCCGCTCGGCGGCGGGGACGTGGCGGTCCGGCACGTGTAGCCTCCCCGGCGGCGGCCCGGAAGCGGCGGCCGAGCCCCACGCGGCGGCGGGCCTGGCGGGCTGCGGCCGCGTGCGCGAGGCCGGGCTGGGGGCCGCGGGCGGGAGGGGCGGCGGGCGGCGGCGCGAGGCCCCGCACGGCAAGGATACTTGTTGCACGGTCCTCTGGATGGTGGTGTCTGGAGACTGGGACTCCTTGAGCAGCTGCAGGATCTGCTGAAGCCCTTGCTCGTCAGGTTTCCACTCATACTCCATCTTGGTTTGCTGCACATAAAGCCAGACACAGGAAAAGACGAGCAGATGTTAGTCCCGCGCACAGGCCCGCCGCGCGTCCCCGCACCCGCCCGCCGCCGCCCACCCCCGGCCCCAACCGAGGCTCGGACCCGAAGGCCGGCCGGACCGCTCCGCAGCTCCGCGCCAATGTCCGCTGTGCCTGTGCCGCTGCGGCCGCCTCGAGCGCCAGGAGCCGACCAGACTGAGTCACCGCGAATTTGCAATCTGGCCCCAAGATCCGCTCACGGGAGCCCCCTGGGTCCTAGTGCCACGGAGCACTCTCAGAGCAACCCGGCTCATTCAGCCAGGCTGTTACACTGAAGGCTACTCAAAAGCCAGCCCTAGAGAAGCCCCTGCAGAAATCTGATTCGGCTCGTTATTTTAAATAAGCGTGGTGGAATAACGACAGCGACTGGAATGGGGGAAACGCCGGCCTCCCCTGACAGCCCAATAGTGAAAATAAAAGCACTTGCATGTCAACTTAATATAAAAAGCTATATTAATCGTTCAAATAAAATATTACGGGCGCGCTGCAATAATAACCACACCTCAGAAACATTAAACCCAACCTTTGTAGAACGTCAATGGAAAAAAAAATGCATCTTTCATAAAACTCAACTTATGAACTCAATAAGTGAAATAAATTCCATCACAAAATAAGTGCCTTCCACAAAGGACTGTGGAAAGAAGGAAAAACAAGAAAAATCATGTAGTTTACAATGGGGTAGTGTTTAATTCTGTTAAAATATTCTCGCTGGTCACCCCGATCTGATTCTAAACCCGAATGAGGTGTGTTATTTGCCCTCACTAAAGCTGAACACAACGCTGAGCACATTACTGCAAAGATTCATCGTTGGAGGCTAGAAATTAAAGTGTGGGTTGTATCTGCTGCAGCAAACTAATGCCACTATATCAATGACACAGTTCATTAAAATTAAATTCTCCAACAAAACCAATAAACGGAAGGGTTAACTGTGAATTATTTTTAATAAGAAAACCTGTGAGAGGCTCGGTGAAGGAGAGATTTAATCGGCTCTACTTCTACATAATAGTTTAACAACTTTTGTTAGTAAAACCCCTTCCTCGCAGGTTCATTTTTTCCCCTGGTATTACTACAATCCTCTAACTGACCTTGCCCTCTCCATTTTTAAAGAATGGTTTCCCCTCCTCTCCTTCACTGTTTTGAGCTTCTGATCTGTAACGACTTTGCTCAATGTCTTCTATTGGCTTCCTAAATAGAGGAGACAAAATCAATTGTTCGTTCTTCCAAACACGCACACACACAAAGCGCCAAACACCTACATCAAACCCACAAGTCTCATCTCAACATAACATATAAATATTGCTATCATAAGGTTTTTAATCTAGTTTTCTTAGTATCTGTTGATCTGTAATGTTTTACATTTACATATATGTACTGTGTATTTTTAAATTATGTAATAGTGGGAATTTTCATTTCTTCCCTGGCTTTCTTTACATATTATGTAATTTAAGAAAATATTTTAAAATATATAGTGTTCCATTATATTGTTGTAAAGTTTTTAAACTTTTAATTGACATAGTCACAAAACTGTACAAACTATAAGCACCTAACCAGATGGACTTTATAAGTGAACACACCTATCTGACACACACCTAGTTCAAAATGGAAGTCTCTCATTCTCATTAGCACAATAAACCCTAGAAGAATTTCTATCATAAACTATTTCTTTTTTCTTCTAACTTCAAAGCTTTTTTAAAATTTCAAGAACTACCTTCCACCAGAACATGGTCCCATAGGTGAAGCTGACCCACCTTTCTGGGATAACGATAGCAAACGGGATAGATTCTACACTGTTCTCTAGTCTCCACCACACACAGTGCCATGGCTGGAATATGAGATGCTCCCACAGCTTCATGTATCTGAACCCTTGATTTGTGGATGCTGACAATACTGAGACATGGTGGAAACCTTTACAAGGTAGCCCCCCACTGAAGCAATGGGTCACTAGGGTGCTTACTGAGGTGCTATAGCCCTTTAAACTTCTGTCTGGTCTCTGCTTCCCGTTCCTTTGCATATTCTTAGTCTATGGAACCACAGGATGCCACGCTCACCCACCATGATGCCTGGCTTTTTGCCATAACAGACTGTATCCCCACCAAATCAACTTTGCTCCTTAATGTTGCTTCTTTCAGAAAACATATTGCAGCAATGAGAAAAAAATAACTAATGCATATAGTCCTTTGTTAGATAATACTCCATGTTACACTAATATTATCTCTCTCTCTCTCTTTGTTCCAAACAGATTAGTATTAAGATATCTCATTTGACCTGGGTCTCATGGCGCATGACTTGAATCTCAGCACTAAGGAGGCAGAGGCAGGTGGATCTTCAAATTAGAGGCCAGCCTGGTCTACAGAGCAAGTTCCAGGACAGCCAACACTACATAGGGAAGCCCTCTCTAAATAACAAAAACCAAAGTCAGCAACAAAAAAAAAATATTTAATTTGTCCGACAATGCTGATAAGTATCCCCCAATACCTTATTAAAGTTATCTGTTAACAAAAGGCTTTAAAAAATATTTGATTTGTAATTGTCATTTTGAACTTCTGTTGTCACTTTTTAGTAGTTATGGTGGCATATGCTTATAATCTCAGTACTCAGAAGGATTAGAGTCAGGATGATCAAGAGTTCAAAGTCAGCCTAGGCTACCTAGCTAGAACCTGCCATAACATAATAAAGCATAAGCTGCAATTATAAATACATAAAATTCACCACTTCAACCATTCTTAGTGTAGAGTTTTGCAGCATTAAGTAGATTCTCATTACTGTGCAGCCACTGCCACTATCATCTCCAGAGCTCACCACAGTTTACTAGCAATTCAAATCAGACAAAACCGTATCTCAACCAATTAGATAACAAGATAATCAAAAATATAAATCCAAAGGCAGTTCTTGGAGAGCCAACTAGAGGCAAGCAGATCTATGCATTTTAAGGTCAACCTGGTTTGCATGAGTTCCAGGCCAATCAAGGCTTCATGGTGAGACTCTGTCTCAAAAAGTATAAATAAACATTTCTTTTGAGAGATGAAGATTAAAGTGCTATAAATCTTAGGAGGTGTGAAAATCTAGGCAAGTTAATCAATCCCTCTGAGCCTTAGCTTCCCAACTATTTAATTGGGATATACCAACTCCAAATTAGATTATAGATACCTAGCACAGAATAAGAATGACTTGAAAAAGGTAGTTATATGAGTTAACTAAGGGGCTGGAGAAGTGACTCAGTGGTTAAGAGCACCAGCTACTCTTCCAAGAGATCCAGGATCCATTCGCAGCACCCACACCGCAGCTCACAACTTTCTGTTACTCCACTTCTGGGGAAGTCTGACACCTTCTGGCCTCCACAGGCAACAGTCACATGTGGTGGTGCACTGATAGTCATACATGAAGGCAAAATCCCAACACACATTTAAAAACAAACAAACAACAACAACAACAAAAAACTGGCATAGCATGCCATTAATCCCAGCACTCAGGAGACAGAGGAAGATGGATCTCTGTGAGTTCAAGGCCAGACTGGTCTACACAGTGATTCTAAGACAACCACAGCTACACAGTGAGACTAGCTCAAAAAAATCCAAAAAATAAAAAATAAAAAAGGAAGAAAAAAAAGGTTAATCAATAGGGCTGAATAGATGAACAGATGGCTGTGGCTAAGAGCCCTGTCTGTCTGCTCTTCTAGATGACCAAGACTGGATTCCCGGCAACCACATGGCAGTTTACAACCAGATATAAATCCAGTCCCGCAGGCTCCAATGCCCTCTTCTGGTCTCTGCAGGCACCAAGCACATATGTGGTGCAGGGAGACTGATTGAACAAGTATTTGTTAAAGACTGCGTTGTTATTCATTCAACTGCATCAATATGAAGTTGGTCAATAAGCACATGCTTGATAAGCACTGGAGAGTCAAGGTAAGGTAAGGAAAATACAGTTCTCACTTGGTAAAAGAGATGGACCAACTGTCTACTGAAGAGTGATAAAGAGAAAAGGCAAATACAGTCTGCTAGGAAAGAGAGTGTTTCCCTCATCTGCTTCAGAGCTCTTCCCTGTTTCAATTAAATGCAAACAACCATTTGTCAAACAGTCAGAAGGTCCCATCCACGTGTTGCGCCACTGTGAAGGGATACATGTTGTCATGAGTGACAGGACTTCCCCAAAGGTAAATAAGGTGTGGTAGCATTCCAAAGCAAACAAGGCATAATCACCCCTCAGGAACACTAGAAAAGCGGGCATGTGCATAACTCTATGTGTGTGTGCGATAAACATGTTTCTGTTTCACCTGTATGAGACTTTCTAGTGTAGCATTCACAAGCCATGCAGGGTAGCTTAGGACATTTCCTCCCAGTGAACATCCAACACCACTCTGTCTTACCCTATAAATGAAGAGTACGGTCATTCCTAGTCAGTAGCACTCCCTCGGTGGAGAAAGGCTACAGCAAGGTAAGGGTAAGAGACTAATCCAGTTAGGAGCTAAGGAGAGAACAGACCAAACGTAAAAGCAAAAGTGAGGAAGGCAGACATGAGGATGGGGATGGGGGTGGAGGTGCAGTGTGGTGTGTGTGTGGTGGGGAGCACCTTTAAAGACCCCATGGCTAGTAGACACTGTGAAGGGGGTGAAAGCCGTATCACTTAAAGATACTCCTATCAAGGAGATGCCCATCTTCTGCTCTAGACTGCCTGCTGTTCGGCTAATTTTTACAGGGATTTTGAGAACCCCTCAGGCTACAGTGACAGCAGGAGGAGCCACAGGAAACCTAACTGTATAAACTTCATCTACATAGAGTTTCAGTGTTAGGAGAAGGGTAGTCATGTTTCACTAAAAGTTCTGGCCCTTAAACTGTAGAAAACTTACACAATACACTATAAATGTGGGGCACGGTGGTGCTCGTCTTTATTCCCAGCACTGAGGAGGCAGAGGCAGCATCTGGTCTACAGAGTGAGTTCAAAGCCA